TATAAAGATATACATACTTATTAAATATAAAATCATTAATTTAATTTTTCTAATAAATACTATTGAACGTTCGCGAACAAGCTCGAGCTCGTTCGTGAATATAACGAGCCAAAATTTATATTCGTGTTCAGCTTGTTTAGCTTAACGAACGAGCTCTTAGTGAGCTCAAACGAGTCGAATCGAGCCGAGCTCGCGAACTGTTCATTTGTTTTACAGCTCTAAATATATAAACCGATGTATGTTTATGGGTATATATATATATATATATAATATTGTCGTCTTATATGTGCCTTTGCCAAATGATGGAACTACTTACTACATTTTTGATTCATTTGGGGTGGGGGAGTTGATTACTTAATTCATTGCATTATAAGTTAGTTATATTAATTGATTAATTAATTAATAATTAATTGTAGATTGTTGCTTCTTTAGTTGATTAATTAATTAATAATTAATTGTAGATTGTTCTTTAGTTTTGTTGTTTTTTTTATAACGTGGAAACCTGTTGTTACTATCTGTTGGGTGAACTAGGCCGAACCTAATACCCTGCAAATTAAGCACGACAAATAAGTCACATTAGGCAAACTATGTGTGAATTTGAACTCATAACATTACTGTCACATGTTCAATCTCTACACCACCCGGTCATCCTTACGAACTTGTTGCTTTAGTCTTTGTTTAGAGAGAAGGGTGTACATTTGAATTTTATTGGACTCAAATTTAAAAAATCTTTGATTTCTATGAATTTTTATAGACTTTAAGATCAAAACTATTAATACGAATATATATAAAGCACACTTATGTAAAAATAATATTCAAATTATTTTAAAAAACTAAATAAAATATACTTTATTAGTTTCAAAAATACATAAGGCTGTGCTTGGTTAAGAATTTCAACTTTAAATTTGAGTTTTGAATAATATAAATTTGAATTTTAATAATTTATATGATGTAATATAAATATATCTTCATTTGATATTTTAAATATAAAATTCATATTTAATATAATATAAAAAAATAAAAATATTATTTAATTTGATTTTTTTTAAAAAAAAATAGTAAATAATATTCTCCCCGCCTCATATTTATTTTTCCGTTTCTTTTTTGCACGAAATTTAAAAATATTAGTATTATATTGAGATGTGCTAGAAATAAAGATAAAAAGACTAAACAACCTTAGTATTTTACAACATTCGTCCGGCTCTAAGGATCTCATTTACTTTTTGCGTGTTGATATTTAAATATTGATTATTATATGAAATCATAGTACAAATTAAGAAAAAATGACAAAAATACTTCTATTAATGTCTTATAATACTATTATAATGAGATTTATGCAAAAAATTTATAAATATAAAGATATTTTTAATGTTAAGTATAATGAAGCAACAGGTAAATGAGACCCTTAGAGTCGGATGGATGAAATATAATATAAATGTAATGACATTTGTATGATATATTATAAATTAAAATAGTATTTATAATATTTGATAGATAATACAATTACAAAAGATAAATAAATAAATGAATACTTTATGTGGGACGGATCAAGTAAAAAAATAGATAGTTAAGACAGAGGGAGTAACATTTGAGGCAAAATCCCTAACAAAAAAAAAGTTCATATATGTCTAAATAAAATTGGATATAGAATGAATATTTTTTTTTAGTGAATTAATATTAAAAAAAAACAAATAAACAAATATAAACTGAACTATCATAACCAAAATCGAAACCGATAAATACAAATAGAAATCATAACTTAGAATAATTTAGTTTCGATTTGATTTTTTGACAAATTGCAGCTTGAGAAGTCTAATAGATTATTTTAAATATATATCATTTTTAGTACTATCTCCGTCAAGTTAGAAAGTATACATATTTTTATTTTGAGACGTCTAATTACAAAATAACAATTTTATTAAATATTTTATTTTTTTTCAGAAATACTCTTACTTTACATCATAGAAAAAAATGTTATTACACTACTTTGACTTACCAATTATCATTAAAATACTATTATTTTTTAAACTACGCGGTAAAAGTAAATATATACTTCTTACTTGGACGGATGGAGTATTATTTTCTATATATAAAATTCTAAAATATTAACTATTTTTTTATTTATATTTATTTTTTTCTTATTATATTTTTTTTAAAAAAATAAAAAATTATTAGTAATGTAAATAAAATAATATGCTTTTTAAAATTGATATAAATTTTTTGTTATTAGCAAAATTTTTATACAAATTAATTTATCAATATCTTTACAAGAGAATAAAAAAATTAATGAAATCTTAAACTCAATTGTTTATGTATTTTATAAAAAAAAAAAAAAATTTGCAAAAATTGAATAGTCTCAAAATTTAAGAATTTTAATTTTTTTAAAATCAATACTCTTATAGACTTGCTTTGATAGGAATTTTAAATATATTTTTAGATTTTAAAATTTATTTGGACAATAAATTCTAGTATTATTAAGCATAAGATTATTAAAAAATAAAATAAAATTTAAAAATAGTTCATTCAGAGTATAGTTAAAAAAAATTTGCATAAAGATTAAAGAAACCAATTCTTTGAGGAGAAAGTAAAAATATAGTTAAAGTATATATATATATATATATAGTTTTAGAACGTGAATAAGAATATTAAAAAATGTATATTTTTTTTAATATAAAAAATAATTTTATTTTATTTTATTTTATTTTTTTATGTTTTATACGGGAAAGCAAATCTAAAAATAGTTTCAATGACGGATCGCATATGTGAGAAGGAAAAAAAATTCTTTTAAAAATATTTCAAGTTCTATGTTTATTTTAGTTTTTACTAGCAAGTAGTTTTCTTTTTTTTTCTTTTTTTTTTTTTTTTTTTTTTTTAATTTAGTATAAATTTTTAAGATTTGATTTTATTTTGATTCCTAATATTCCTTTAGTTGATGTTTGTTTATTTTGTGAGATTATTGAAAAGAAAATTTTTGTACGTGAAATATAAGGAATTGTGTAGGAATATAAAATAATGAATTTGTGTAGTGTATTATTTTTATGGAAAATCATACGAAAAAAAAATAATTAATTTTTTTATATGAGTTATATGAAATTGTGTAGTGTACTACTTTTAATGCTTAATTATTTTTGAGATAGTTGAATTTGTAGCTAAGTACTTCAATTGAATTAAGAGTTAATTGTTAGACTAAACTTGTCGGTCAATTAATTTGTATTTCAATTTAATTTAAGTAGTAACTAGTAGATAGATAATTTTAAAAATCTCAAATTAATTTTAAACAATTTCACATGAATAATTATTGAATTGAATTAGTCTTTAAAATATTATTAGACTAATAAATTCTTTGTGACACTTGAGTTCTAGTTCAATTTCTAATTCAATTAGGAAAGCAATTAAAGTTGTGTATTGTCGGGTGCTAAGTAAAAAACATTTGATTATTAGATATATTTCGATAACTATAACTAATTTATTTAAATTATTAATTTATTATTATTTTTTGAGATCAAACATTTGAGACGATTCTACTTTTTATTGAACTAATTTTATTTAATTTTATGACGAATATTGTCACTCTTTAAAAGTTTTGATTGTTTTAATTTTTTAAAGATTTATACTAATAATATATATACTACTATATTTCATATAAAAATATTATTTTTATATACTATTTTTTAAAACAAATATATAATTAATTAAAAAAAAAAGGAGAAAAGAAAAAAAAAAGTGTATGTATATACAGGGTGAATGTATAGTATTATAATCTTTATACTATTTTAATAGATAAAATAATCTACATATCATTTAATATAGTATTTACTTTACTATATTAAATATTGAATAAAATTATATTATATTATGTTTATTTATTTATTTATATTTTATAATGTTGGAATCTCGCTATTGTACGGGTAAACCTCCAGTTGAACTTATATTATGTTTACTTCACTTGATTGTACGATAAAGATCTTTTTTTTTTCTTTCACCAAAATACCCTTTATTTTTTTATTTTAATTAAATTATTATCACGATGATATATAATATATAATTTAAATTTATTTTTCTATTTATTATATATATAAATTAGTTTTTTTGAGAATATATTACTCTCTCTGTCTCATTTTTCTTCCGTTATAAAATAATAGTTTTATTTTTATAAATAACCAGTAAAACTATTCCTACTTTTTCATTATTATTCACAAGGGCAAAAAAAAATTATTTATCCTTATTTTTTTACCAACTACTAATATAATATCAGTGTTTTTTAAACCTCGTGTCCAACATAATAATAGTATACTTTTGGGACGGAGGGAATATATCTTATTGTTACATTTTTATATTTCATTGATTAAAAATATTAAAAATTTAAATAAACTTCAAATAAATATTAAACAAAAAAATTATTGATATTTATAATTTTTTTTTTTTTTTTGGCTATAATATTTATTATAATAAATTATTGCAAATAAACCATGTTTAACGCAACCATAAGGTATTGGAGTTTGGACTTTGAATGCATCAACGCAATCACAATCACTATCACCCAAAAAAGTTTGTTACTATTTTATTTTATTAGCATTCATAAATTATACTCTGACTCACATTGATTTACCTGCCTCACCCTCCCCCGCTCATCTCTTTATTAAATCCTAACAGACTAAATCCAACAAACATGCTCACTCGTAATTTTTATTAAATATGCAATTCTATTTTATTTATTTATTTTTAAATGTAGAAGATTATATTTCAATCCCAAAGTCTATCCAATACGAGAGGAATACTTCTATATAAATAAATAAGTAAGGATATATAATTTTAAATTTGATTTTAAAATAATATATAATATAATTATTTTGTGAGAAAAAAATATATATTTTTTTTCAAAATACACCCAAGTTTTAGTATAAAGAAACAAACCCTAAATATAATATAATATAATATAATATATTAATAGGATGAATATGGGGTGGGCGTATTCAAACTAAACTACACGGCAAACACACCCTCCAGTCGCCAATTGGTTTCATCTCCTCCTTCTTCTCTCTCTCTCTCCCTCTCTGCTATTTATATTGATCCAGAGAGCAATGTGCCTATTAGCAGTATGGCGGCAAGGAAGAAGTGGCACCGGGATGACGACGACGACGATGATGGGGAGCTGCTTGGCTTCCAGATTTTACACTGTCTTATATTCCGCCATCATCACCATTATCATCATCCACAAAGCCGGTGCCGCCGAAGCCGCCGCCGCAGTCTCCTTCGCCTCCACGGCTACCTCCTCCCTCTCCTCTTCGCACTCTCCGCTTCTTTCCTTATCCTCTTTGCGATTCTTTTGTTCTTCGCTCCATCGGTTTCTATTCCCATTCCTCTCAACAGATCGGTACGATCACCATCTATCACTTGATTGATTTGCGCGTCTGTGCGTCTCTGTGATCTGAACTTTTTCTTTTCTTTTTTTTTTTTTTTTTTGTGGTATTTCGGAAGGTTACTGCTGCTACTCATGGAATGGAGGCTGGCATGATTGTTGAGAATAATAGATATGCGTTTCGCATTCCGGTGAGTTACCAATCATTAACACCTGCATCGCAATATTATTAGTTCTTCCAACGTGTATGGATTGATCTCTTAATCAGATTCTTTTGAGTTTTATCAAAAAATATCAAACAAAAATTTGAATGCGTTGATGAGAGGCTATTTTATTAATAATTATTGTCGTCTGTGACACAACAACGCGTGAAGACGACGACGACGAGTGGCCGGAGGTTGTGGTCTACTTTCAGCAATTCATCCAGTTCGTTTCATGGATGCAGCGATGCCAGCTCTGACTTTTCAAGTAATTTCCATCTCTCTTTTCGATCGTTCATGATGCCTCTGTAGCCTGCGTACATATACAGATACAGATACAGATATTCATCAATTGTGTACCGTTTTGCAGAAAGGAGGATGAATACAGAGGAGTCCAATAGGTTCCTGTTGATTGCGACTAGTGGTGGCTTGAATCAACAGAGAATAGGAGTAAGTATCATCACCATCATCATATATTAGCAACAGCCAGAAAGAGGATCTGAGACTGAGTTGAGTCGTTTTTATTGATAAGATAGATTGTTGGATATCAGTTAATCTTTATGCTGCTACTATATATCATACAATGTGGGCACAGATAGTGGATGCTGTTGTCGCAGCCTATATCTTGAATGCCACCCTGGTGGTGCCTAAGCTGGACCAAAAGTCATTCTGGAAGGATGACAGGTTTGTTCTTTCATTCCTAATTAATTTAAACACTACACGCCTCTGGAAGGACGACAAGTATGATCATGATGAGGCTTTTGCATGCAGCAACTTCTCAGATATCTTTAATCTGGATTGGTTCATATCTTCCCTCTCCACTGATGTCAAGATTGTGCAGCAGCTTCCAGAAAAGGCGAGGAAATTCACAACCACTCGGCCTCCAAGGAAATGCAATCAAACTTGTTATGAAACTCGAATCCTTCCCCTCTATCACAAAAAGCGCGTACGTTAGTTAATTTAATTACTATTTGCTTTCTAATACTTGTGCTGTTCAGCTACTAGATTATAATTCCCCAATTAATATTATCAGAGCATTTCTTGGCTTGTCTACTCAGGTGCAAACTCTTCACCTCACCAAGTTTGATTACAGATTGTCGAATCGACTCGATGAGGACCTGCAGAAACTCAGATGTAGAGCTAATTATCATGCTCTGCACTTCACCGATCCTATAGTCCAGATGGCAACTAAACTAGTTGAAAGAATGAGAATGAAGAGCAACCATTTCCTTGCCTTGCACTTGAGGTAATTAATTAATCCAGATTAACGAACTATCTTTGATTGTTGCTGATAGATATCCTATGCTAAATTAAACTTTCCTCCTTCCACAGATTCGAACCGGATATGCTAGCATTCACTGGATGCTATTACGGTGGGGGATCAAGAGAAATTGAAGAGCTAGGAAAGTTACGAAAGAGATGGAAAACCTTACATGTAAGTAGCGATCCCACAACCCGGCCTCGCAACAAGATCCCTTCCTAAGACTCAGATTTTCTGCATGTGTTTGCTTTGCTTTTGCAGAAAAAGAATCCTGAGAGAGAAAGAAGGCGTGGGAAGTGCCCACTAAGCCCAGAGGAAGCGGGGCTGATGCTAAGAGCATTGGGTTACAGCAATGACGTGCACATATATGTTGCATCTGGGGAGGTATATGGAGGCGAGGAGACACTAGCACCACTGAGGGCACTCTTCCCAAATTTACATTCCAAAGACACATTAGCCAGCAAGGAAGAGCTAGCACCATTTGCAGCCTTCTCATCCCGGATGGCTGCATTAGACTTCATCGTCTGTGATGAAAGCGACGTCTTCGTCACCAATAACAACGGCAACATGGCTAAGATACTTGCTGGGAAAAGGCATGAGCTTCTTCAACTACTTCAATTTGTTCCTTGATTGATGATAATGATGATGATGATGATATAATATTCATATGAATGCAGAAGATACTTTGGTCACAAACCAACCATCAGACCAAATGCCAAGAAACTCCAACGGTTGTTCCCTGATCGAGAAAAGATGACATGGCAAGAATTTGCATTGCAGGTGGAGACAGCCCAAATTGGGTTCATGGGAGAGCCAAACGAGGTGAAGCCCGGCACGGGAGTCTTCTACGAGCACCCACTGTCATGCATATGCCAACAAAACTCCATTGTTGATCCCAGTCACGATCATGAGGTCGACTCAACTCCCCAAACCTCCAGTAACGATTCTACTACTCTGGGTGGCTGGGATTGGGAACATGACGGTGACAGTGACAACGACAGTAATGAAGTAGGCTATGAAGGGATGTCAGAGGAGGAACAAGAATTGTTCGATGCAGAGAATGCATTGGAGTGAGTAGTGGAAATTAATTCATTGTTTTGGATTAAACAGAGCTAACTAAATTAAGCTAGCCAGGGACAGGGACAGGGACGACAATGGCAGTACATACACACAACACACATATGCCCATAGTTTCGGAGTTGGTCTGGTCTGGTCTGTTGCGTTGATCGAGTATTCTTGGGTCCTCTAGGTCAGTTCAGTCTTAAGCTTATTTAAGCCTTTACACACACACAATTGCACAAATATATTACTATGATTCTTCCTGTGTATAAATATATAAGCGAGGTACAGTGCCAAACAGTGGCTGCAGTAGAGGTAATAATATTCTTGAGTTTTGCCCATGCGTTAGTCATGTTTACGATGACCGTATAAATGAAATATTATTATTATTATTACTACAATATTATTTATAATGCCTCTGATCCGCAGTAATATAATTCGAGTAAATTTTCATCAAACCTAATATCAGTATACTGGAGTATTAGGCAAGTCTCAAGCACCCTACGAATAGCATCACGACACGTGGATGTAGTAGATAAAATGAATGAGCTGAGGTGGCATCGGAAGCGACCACAGACCAGCCTACAGTACACAGACGTGGGCACAGCACAGTGATCCAAACGTGGCATCCGCCGCATCTGTTGTTGTTCCCTCCTCGCTTCTCAACACCCAACTAACTAATTGCAACAGTGAAGAAGAAGACGAAGAAGAAGAAGAGGCTCCAATGGCCTCCACCCTCCATGCTCGCATATCATCCACTCCCACCCCTCCCAAGCTTCTCAACTCTCACCTTCATGCTTCTGCTTCCCTTTCCTACCGCCGCGCTTTAGCTCCCAACCTAGACGCCTTTGCCCCAACTCCAACCCCCTCCGCTTTCATTTCCAGAGGTAAACAAAAATCATTCTCCTCCTCAATTTTAATAACTCCTTTAGCGGATAACGAACGAGTTTAACCAAATGCTTAGGAAGGGCAATAACCTGCAGAGCGCAGGCCTCGCCGGCAGCGGTCAATTTAGGTCCGGGAACCCCCGTCAGGCCAACGAGCATACTGGTGGCGGGCGCTACGGGCACATTGGGCAGACAGATCGTGAGGAGAGCACTGGATGAGGGTTATGATGTTAGATGTCTCGTCAGACCTCGCCCCGCCCCTGCCGATTTTCTACGCGATTGGGGTGCAACTGTGGTCAATGTAAAACTTATCAACTCGCACCTATCTTCCTCTTTATCCATATACATTGCTCAATTTCGCCAATTAATATATGTAATTTGCTGGATTTTCCTGAGCAGGCAGATTTGAGCAAGCCGGAAACTATACCAGCGATTTTGGTAGGCGTACATACGGTCATCGACTGTGCCACAGGACGTCCGGAGGAGCCCATCAAAACTGTGAGGATGCTTACCAACTAGACGATGATGTTCTTTTTGTGTATGATCAATTTCATGGAAGATGTGATGTTTGCTTGGCTGTGTGGCCGTTGCATATATAATATATATATATTCGAATTTTCCTTATTCAGCTCACTCTTACCTTTAGGTAGATTGGGAAGGAAAAGTTGCTCTGATACAGTGTGCCAAAGCCATGGGAATCCAGAAATATGTCTTCTTTTCCATCCACAATTGTGACAAACATCCTGAGGTTCCACTTATGGAGATCAAGCACTGCACGGAGAAGTTTCTCCGTGATTCAGGGTTGAACCACTTGACTATCCGACTTTGTGGTTTCATGCAGGTGCTTACTTTCTCTTTTGTTGATTGTGTGTGACCTTACTTTTCCTTATAACCGATAATGCTTTGTTGTTGATTTGGGTAGTCTGTCATTGTATTATTCTTTGGTTTGTGGCCAATCAATGGCAAGTCTATCACCATTTTGGTCTATTCCCTTTCTGGGTATTGTATTGGTCTATCAGGTAGTGTAACTTGCCCCTTGATTCACAAATCTTTCACACACTGCCTTGAGATGGAACCAATATTGCCTACTATATGTTTTCTTCCTCAACGGAGAGCTTGAAAGTGCCCAACCAAAAATCTTCATTGGTGATTAAAAGATTGAGATTGAACCAATATTGCCTACTATATGTTTTCTTCCTCAAGGGAGAGCTTGAAAGTGCCCAACCAAAAATCTTCATTGGTGATTAAAAGAATGGTCTGGGCATAAGCAATCAATTAATGAAGGCAACTCCAGAGAAATGCCACTATTAAATTATGTTTTATGATGAAATCTTTCTAAATTGTGTGTGATTCATTTCAATTGATATGCAATACTTAATCAACAAAGTAGTGTTTGCTTACCTGCATCAGGGGTTGATTGGACAGTATGCAGTACCCATATTGGAAGAGAAATCTGTTTGGGGCACTGATGCTCCTACAAGAATAGCATACATGGACACCCAGGTAAGCAGTGTTGTATGATGAGTGCTTCATCTTCTTTCTTAATTGAAATTTGAACAATGTTCCATACTTGCCAGGATATTGCTAGGCTGACATTTATTGCTCTACGCAATGAAAATATCAATGGTAAACTTCTTACATTTGCTGGGCCACGAGCATGGACAACCCAGGAGGTAAAATAATGCTGAAATTGTGAAGAACAAATGTATATATATATATATATATATACAGATGTTGGACAGAATCACTTGATGCTTGATATTTGAACTTTTTTTTGTTTGCTTGATACTTAAACTTGTGGACTACAAGTGTAAAGTTCTTCTTTCTGAGCTATCTATCCATGGTTGTATATGCAAGGTTAGCCGAGTCATTGTCTATAGGACATATTATAGGGAAATGGGTAATTGAAAGATCTTGATTGATTTAGAAGCAAACCCAAATTGAGTCTACCCAATTCTAAATAAATGCAGAGGTGCATAATAGATCGATATGAATATCAAGAGCTGTCCTGTATAAATAAGAATATGTGCATATCCTAATTGTCGAATAAAATGAATTTGTAACCAACTCAGTTAGGAAACATGCCATTGTCTGTCCTATTCCTAATCTGAAGGAGCTTGTACCATAAGATCCAGTTTATGCATCTTGTGCAGCATCTTCATCTGCAAGTCAATGACCTTGGAGATTCAAATTAATGCCATACCATACCTTTTGTTTTCATGATGTTTTCCCAATTCATTGCAAAAGCTCTAAGGCTTTCATCTTAACTGTTTGTTGTATACATGATCCCAAAATCTGCTTTATAATTGACAGTATCCAGATCTTCTCATGGTTTTAGGTGATAACACTGTGCGAGAGGCTTGCCGGTCAAGATGCAAATGTGACCACAGTTCCTGTCTCAATTCTGAGAGTTACTCGTCAACTTACTCGTCTATTTGAGTGGACCAATGATGTTGCCGACAGATTGGCATTTTCAGAGGTATGATGCATTTATTTTATATATCCCTTAACACTTGAAGGTACCTCTAGAATAGAGTGCATATTTGAATTACATATATAAGGTGACAGAACTTGAGCCTTAGCATCGTCCCAAGTGAAGTGTTATGTCGACTCAAAATATTAATTACATAATTACTATTGTGTGTCTACGTAGGTTCTTACAAGTGACACAGTATTCTCGGTCCCAATGGGGGAGACATATGAGCTGCTCGGGGTGGATGCGAAGGATATAACTACGTTGGAGAAATATCTGCAAGATTATTTCACAAACATATTGAAGAAGTTGAAAGACATCAAGGCACAGTCTAAACAAACTGACATAATCCTATGATATATATATAATGCCATTGTTAGGTCTTGATCTAGCAAGAGCATTGTTATATTAATGTGTTTGGTTGGTACATAATTAAGTTGTATATGTGTGGGGATGGATATTTGATTTATTTATGGTGTTGGATATCTTACAAATATCCCCAGCAAAGATCTTGCATCATAATCTTTTTTTTTTTTTTTTTCTCAATTTGTATGCAATTTTTTTTTTTTTTTTTCAATTGACTTTCCTTCCCCTTATTGTTTTTCTTTGGCTTCTTTACTTTTCTTACTTCGATTTGATTTGTTTTGTTTTGTTTTTTTTTTTTTTTTTCTTCGCTTCTTAACGTTTATTATTTTCCTTGAGAATACAGGTTTGGAATTTTTTTTGAAAGAAAGTCGAAAAATTCTTTCAACTTGCTCCAGTAAATCATCGAAATAGATTTTTGAGCGACAACAGATTGTTTCGATGAAAATCATTGTTGTTGCTCTTAGTAAATTAGTGGCACATGTCACTCGTGGCCTCATCATAATAGCTATCCTTTTTTTTTTTATTGGCAAAAAATAAAAAATAAAAAATAATCTGTAATATAAAAATATTTTATAAGCTTCGCAATCCGTCTTAGCAAAAATTATAGGCTTCAAAATTCGTTTTGCTTTAATCTTGCCCCTAAACCCACCTCACTTTGAATCTGTCATATTTGAGATTAATTATGAAATTCCGTCTTATTTTTAAGAAATATGTGTATATATATATATATACTTTTCTTACTTTTATATATACTCCCACCGTCTTATAAAAAAATATTCATTTACTATTTGCTTTATTATATATAATATTAATAATATTTTTATATTTGTATAATTTTTATTGTACAAATGTCGTTGTATTAGTATTATAAAAATCTTTGTCATTTTTTCATAATTTGTAATACGTTTTGATATAATAATTAATATTCAAATATTAACGTACAAAAATAGTAGATGAATACTTAGTTACAGAGGGAGTATTATATAATAAAAAAGTTTAAATATTAAATATTTTAAACTTCAAAAGTCTCAATCACCAAAATAATATGTTTGTAATTTAAGTAAAAAATTAAAGATATTTTGATAATAGTGTATGATTATTTTTTCTAAAATAGGAAATAGATACTTAGAAATAAATAAAGTACGATAATGATAAAAATAGTGTTTTAAATTGGTTCGAAAGAAGTAATATATTTTCAATTGTAATGACATTGCTATAACAATTGCTAATTCATAGAAGAATAATAACTTAAAAATAATGATAAGCATGACCATTGTTAAAATATTTGTAGAAAATTGAAAAATAAAAAATAGTATAAATTTAGATCATATAAGACCATTCCTTAAGGTGACCTCTCTTATGATTACTTTTTCAGTTTCTATTGTAATAACTAGTTACATTTCTCATTAATTTTTAAAAGAGATACAATTATTCACTATTTATTAATTTTTTCAAAAATCGGTTACCTTCAACAAAATAAAAAAAAAAATTAAAAAAATTAAATATTATTTCAAAAATTTTAAAATTATAATTTTTATATAATATGCAATAAAAATATATAGAAATAAATAAATTAGTGTGGATCCTATAAAATATTAAAGGTAAGTGTTGAAGGTGATTACTACAACGAGTGATAAATAAAGTAATTTAAATGTTAAATTTGATATGATGTGGATGAAAGATATAAAAGATAACAAAGTAGAGTTAATATTGTAACGAATGCTCTAAATAATTATAAAAATATATAGTATAATACTACCTCCGTTTGGCTCTAAGGATCTCATTTATTTTTTATGTGTTAATATTTGAATATTAATTATTTTATCAAAACATAGTTCAAATTAAAAAGAAAAAAAATACAAAAATACTTCAATTAGTGTCTTTTAATACTGATAGAATGACATTTATATATAAAAAAAAATTATATAAATATAAAGATATTTTTAATATTAAACAAAAGATAAATGTGATCCCTGAGATGGACGCATAGAGTATTTATTTTTTTATAATTATTAATTTAAACGGAATTAAGGAGAATTTATAAAACTCATTCCGTTAATAAGGGATTTCGAAGCGCATGGTCCAATTTTAAATCAGGTCTGAAAAATCAGACTCAAGCACCGGTTTGAAATCAAGTCAATTTGAATTATTTTATACTTTACCATCAAATCATATTTCTATTTTTGTCATTTTTCAGATATTGTATATATAAATATATTAAATCTTAAATAATAATTTTCACAAATCTGGCAGGGCTAAGCACGATTCGAAAAATTTTGATCTTATTTTTAAAAATTCAAAAATAGTTTTTTCGCACCAAGTTCGGATCAATTTTCATTATTTCTATTTTTTCCGACTCTAAATATCGTATCATCATATAGGGTGGGGTGGGGTGGGGTGGGGTGGGATGGGATGGGGTGGGGTTAATATATATATATATATATATATAATTCATCATCGGCGGGGCAGCAGGACTATATCTCATCTGGTTGTAGATAATGATAGGGATCTGCTATGCCAAAAAATTATAGGGTCTTGCCCCCAACCCCACACCACCCCATATTAGCCCAGCCCCCTCCAATTAACATTAATTAGTTACAAAATTGATTACCACCTCCGTCCCATAAAAGTATTATGGCCTTTTGACGTTGATCTTTAATATTAATTATTATATTAATATATAATACAAATTAAAAAAAAAATAATAAAAATATTTTTATTAGTTTATTATAATACAAATATAATGATATTTGTAAAGTAAATTATACTAATATAAAAATATTTTAAATATTAAATACAATAACGCAAAAAATAAAAATGTATCGATTTTATGGGACGGAGGTAGTATATGTTTTCACTTATGGTGACATTAGTTGGTTAAACTACGACTCAAATTTGAATTTTTGAAGATACAACATAATTTTAAAAAATTAATAAAAACAGTAGAAATATAAAATTATAAAGTAATTTGGATTATATGAATATTAATAAAAAGATATATATATATAATATTAATTTTTAATTTGATTTTAATTCAGAGAGATTATTATTATTATTATTATTATTATTTTATATATAAAACATGTAATTCAGTGACTTACTTCACACGAACGAGCCGGATTTTAAAATGAGAAAATATGTAATTCAACCCAAATTTCAAAATTTGATGTCCGAATTTACTCTATTTAGTACAAGGCCATAAACAAAATCCGATCCGCCTCAATTTTCATCTTTAGATAACAATGATTAATCAATTATTAAATGGAAATAATAATAACAATTGTTTGCATATATATATATATATATATATTTGTACATACTCCATTAGGATATACTCATGCATATTATAACTTTGTAATTCCATCATCCGATATATATAATTTTTATTCCAAAAATATTCTCATATTATATCAGATCGATTTTCTAAAAACTCTAGACGTCGTAACCACTGCTCGCTGTTATCCGCCGGGATTCAGTCGACACTGCAGCCACCGGTGGATCCACATCATCATCGCCGTCCGAACTCCAAAATTTTGCAGCTGCCTGCCGCTCACACGCTGGTAACGTAAATCGCGGCGTCAAGCTTCTTTCCGACTCGAATTCCTAGCGCACATGAAGGTGAGCTTGGTAGTCATCGGCAACAGCCTTCCGGCCGGAGACTACTGTTTTTATTGTTGACGTCCTGCTATGGTCACTTTTGGTATTTGACTTGATATTATTTCGCTGTTGTAACTGGGTTGGATTACTCAGTGTGATTTTTTGTTTAATCTTTGCGACCACTATATTATTTTTGATTTTCTAGATAAGTAGTATGACTATTAATATGGATCATGTGGAAAAAACACCTGTGATAATTATGATTTGTGGGCTGAATCCATAAAGAATTTTTTTTTACAGTAAAAGTTTATGACACTATGTTATTGGTAATTTTACTGCACTGGTTAATCCTGCCGAAACATCTGCGACGCCTCTTACACATAAGGAACTCATGGATTATTGGGAGGCTTTGCATGATTGAGATAGTAAGAACTGCATTATTCTTACTTGGATTCAAAATACTTTCTTCAAATATGTTCAGGTTCAACTTCGACGCATAGACACTTCCAAAAAAGAATGAGATTATTTGCAGTATCGATATTAGGCTACTGATGTATGCATTATTATCAGATCATCGGCTCGTTAAATGCATTGACATATGAATCAGGACAAGATATGAATGAATCATTTTCTACTATTGATCGAAGAGTTTTGGGAGATTAAAAATATTTTAAAGATACAAAAAAATATTATATGTAACAAATAAAAATAGTGTCGTGCATGTTCGTTTGGTAACTCCAAAAACTTCGTAAAAAATAAAAAAAAAATTCTCTTTACTAGCAAGTGTCCGAGTCGAATTGAAGAAATATGAGAATATTTTATATTTAATTAGAAAAAATACAATGAGTCAACTCAATCGAATAGCTTGAAAAGTTAACTCACAAAAATTTAGTTCTAACTAGAAAGCAATAATATATATATATATCGGGGAAGGATGAGACAAGGTGTTTGTGAGTGACTTGTGCGTTTCTAAATTGTTAGATATTTCATAGATGAAATGAATAGGATGGCGATGTTGTTTTAGCGAATAATATGTATAATTGTGGGGCGGTTCAGAGGAATGAGCGTTATTACACATATTTGTTTAAGCCCGACTCTTGACTTGGTTGATACTTAACCTTAAGGGAGTTACGACGAGGCTTCAGCGACACCCGACGAATAATATTATTTAAAAGAAAGGCCCATGTCACCGGGCATATCTAGGATTCGATAGGCAAACATCTATGTCTAATTAATTATTCTTGCGCCGTTACACTAGTGGCCCTACTATTTTGATACCGCTCTTTAATCAATGTTATAATTATATTTCCAAAAGAAAAAAAATGACAAATTATATGTAACGAACTGAAATAAAAAGAATGGAAAAATTATGTGCAACAGAGAGAGTATTAAATTAATATTTGCATATAAAATGTAATAAATATAATTATTGAAATAAATTAACATAATTAATATAAAAAATTTTGACAGAAATATATAAATAATTAAATAAATATAAGTTATGAAATATGTCAAAATCAAGAGTTGTGAACTATATAGTCTATGTGAGATCCT